CAAATTCTCTACGAATGTTGCGGCTACAATATAAGGGTAATATAAAAAAAAAAAAGCCAAAAAAAACAGATAGCCGTATCAACGAAATAAAAATAAAAGATGGAGGAGGAAACATGGATACAAATACGACAATGATGACGACGACGACGAAGATGACAACAATGAGGGGAAACACAGAAAAAGAAGAGCCAACTGAGAACAACAAAAAAATTAAAAAAAATATATTAAATTACCCAGGATCGCGAGTCAGAACAGCTCAACAACCAGGCCAGCCTCCGCGCGCCACGTGGGATGCAATTTTGATGCGAGATTAGACCCGGAGTGTTCGTATATGTGTGTGTGAGGGGTATTGGGAGGGTTAGGGGGAGAGGGGGGTGGTCCAGTTGTTTCTCTATTAATTCGACGATGTCGATTGGTCGCGTACCGTGCGTTTGAATTAGATTAAATTTTATTCGAGTGTGTGTGTGTGTGCTTGTATATTTGTGTATGTGTATGGGTATGCTTTCTACAACCCCCACCTACCCCTGTTCGTCTCATCTCTCTTTGTTTCTCAATTTCTGTTTCTCTCTCTCTCTCTCTCTCTTTCTCTCTTGCGAAAAACCCTCTGTGCAAATCGCGTAACCACGATTGGAAACAAACAAGACACTTCTCAAACGACCATTGGGGTTACTGTATTATCATTTGTTGGTCCTTTTTTGTTTTTTATTTTTTTTTATTTTAGGATGTCGAATAGGATATAAAAATATATGCAGTCTAACTCATGAAAATATTTGAACACAATATTTTACCATGAAATATTTTATTTAACCCTTTTCGGATGTATTCAATTTGGACATGGGTGTCGTAGTAGTCGGAATTAATTTTTATATATAATATATTTATTATGCAAAATACATATTATGTGGAAATACATATAAAAAATATATATATAAGATTAGCTAGCACGGTTTCTTAGGTAGTGGCTGGGACAGACATACGACCAGAACTGTAAAAAGGCTTTGGTGGCTGATAATAGACACGTGTCCGAAAAGGGTTAATTATGATAAGTACATTGTACTTTAGATTATATACAGGGTGAGTCACTAACTTCAACTACTTCACCTTATTGACATATTATTATTAACCCATTTGCACTATAAGCGCATATATGCGAGCATTTTACCTAACCACTATCACCAGAGCGCATTTCTGCGCACATTTCAGTCACCATATATTTAAGAGTGGGGGTACGGTTTTATTTAAGAAACCTTTGTAGAACGATAACAGGGCGAGAAGGAGAAACTGAGGAAAGTAACGGAGTGGGAAGGGTTGAGAGGGAGTGTACGTTTGGAAAAGTTCTCTTCAAGTTCTTCAAGTGTCATTAAAATATTATTTACCCCCACTCGTTAGAACGTAATACAATAATTATAATACTCTTTTTTATAAGATCATTCTGCGAATTCATCCCCACCACAATTGGTTTTTTTAAGAAGAAGAAAAATAATGCGAAGACTACGTTCTTAAGTTCATTCTTCCTTAATTTAAACTACGTTTCTTGTCGTACGTACACAACACCACTAATGGGGTTATTTTTCTTTTTTTTATTATTTTTTAAGGGACATCATGGCTATCTTTCTCTTTTTTGTATACCAGTTGAAAAAAAAATAAATAGAAAAGTGGAAAGGGGTTGTTTTTCAAACTAATTATCCTTACGCAAGGGTGTATACTCGTTTCTAAAACCTCCCCGTTTAACTCCCCTCCCCCTGCTTTGTCCCCTGTCCGGAAGTCCCATCTTTTCTTTAGGAATTTTTGTCTATTATTCCATTGTTAACCCCCCATTAACGTTTTACTTATCTTCTTATTATTACGAAAATTAAAATAACGAGTATGACATTGTTCATTTTATATGACGTAGGATATCATTCTATGGAATATTTGTATTATGTTTTCAGATGAAAGAGGTGGGGGGTAAAGTAGGGATACTTTACTTTTTATTTTTTTATTATTTTATTTTATCTTATTTCTTTTTTTTTTTCTTGGGTGAAGGAAGGTTTCGTTCATAAGGATTGTTATAGTAATTCAAATATTTTTATTTATAATTAAGTATGTCAAATAATAGATTTTCTATTATTAGAAATAAATGGAAGTTTAGGGTAAAGATTTGTCCTTTTCTTCTTTTGTTTATTTTTTTTTTTTTTTAACTCGAATCCGTGCAATCACAAGCAAACAACAGGGGTATTCTACCCTCTTCCTTTTTATCTAAATCCCGAACAAAATGGTTCACACCTTTCGATTCGATGGTACTTGTTGAAATCGAACTCGAATGTCTTTAGTATTGGTACATATATCTATATATATGTGTATATGTATATGTGTTTGTTTAGAAACGCGTAATATTATCAACTGACTCTCGAATTCCAATGAGGTTTAAGAAAGTTCTTGTCTATTTCTTCCTATTTCCTTTTTTTTTCTACCTTCCTTCTCATTCGATAAGAAAAGGAGGGTGGATTAAAATAAGGGGATGGAAGAAAGAAAAGAAAAGAAAGAAAGAAAGAAAGAAAGAAAAATAAATGATGGAAGAAGAGAGATGAAGATAGAATATAAAAAAGGTAGGGGGAAAGAAAAAAAAGGATAAAAGGAAGAATTGGAGACAGTAGAAGTCAAGTTTCTTATCCCCCTACAATCTCATCAACGTTTAAGAACCGCACGTTGGTGGTGGTGGTGGTGGTGGTGATGGGAGTGGGGATGGGTTGCAGGTTAATGCTTTCCACGTCCTAAATCCAGGATTCTCGAAGGAGCATGCCCCCTACCACCTTTTCACCCTCTTATTCGATTTCTTTTTTTTCTTATTTTCTCTTTTTTTTTCCAACAACCTTCCATGAGTCGAATTAACTAACCTGACGATTCTTTTACGTGTTAACTTCCTGATTTTTCCACAGGGTGGGTTTTGAAGTATGTATATGTAGGGGGAAAACACAAGGGAGAAAAAGAAAATAAAAAGTTTTATCTATGAAATTTATGAATTTGTGACAAAATATTTTCATTTTTAATTTAGTCTCGTGTGTATATTGAATTTTTGTCGAGAATATATATTGTTTGATTATTATCGAAACCTTCTTCTCATCCTTTATTCTTCTCCCCTTTCCCCTTTTTCCTCCCCTATACGGTAAAATAAAAACTAGCATCAAATATAGAAAATTAATAAACTGTAATCCGACGATTGTACAATTTTTTTTCCCCCTTTACTATGACGCATCGAAATTTTATATATATATATATATGTGTGTGTGTATGTGTTTGTGAAAAAAAAAATTCGTGTATTCGAATATAGAATCAAATTTTAACACAATGTATACAATATATTTCGTTTAACACGTAAAACAAATATTTTTTGTATAAACTCATAAATTTTGGTATTCAATCCCAATTTAAAAATTCGTTGAACGTAACGAAAAAGTGTATTTAGTTTATTTTATTTTATTTTATTTTATTCTATTTTGTTTTGTTTTTTTTTTTTTTTTCAGATAAAAAAAATCACGAAGAATTTGTTAAATAACTGTGCAATGTTTTCTTTCTTTTTGTTTCTATAATAAATATTAATAACGACAAATTGGTGCAAAATAATATAATTTTTGAAATAAGTAAACGATGTCGAGGAAATGAAAAAAAAAAAAAAAAAAGAAAAAGAAATGATAGTGATCACTTGACTGATCCACTAGACGATATAAGTGTTCGCCCTCACAAATCGTATTTTTTTCTTGGACAATTTTTAATATCCGTTCTGATAATAATATCCTTCAATAAAGCATCAAAGCGTTTCGTTTTATCTTCTTCTCCATTTTTCTTTTTTTTTTTTTTTCTTTAATAATAAATCTCCTTTTGGTTCAGGTTAATAAATTTTCTTCGAAAATAACTGTTTGACGTGTATTTCACATTTTTTTCTTGTTTCTTTTTCTTTTTTATGTTAATCATCACTAAACGATAAATGATAAATAATAAATGATAAATGATAAATGATAAATAATTGAAAGCAATTCAGTGTTTCATATCTTTTTTGTTTTGGTTTTTTTTTTTTTACATAATATTTTCTTATTATTTAACTTCTCTAACTCTTACGTCAATTCTGATACATTATATTCATTTATTTATTTTTTTATTTAGTTAGTTACTTATTTAATTATTTATTTATTTATAGTAAATAATATTTTGTATACTTTTCTTTTATCAACATCTCGCACGTTTGTTCTATCAGTTTTATTTTATTTTATTTTATTTTTCTTGTTCATAACTAAATATCAATCCATTTTTAACACGTTCCGTGTACCCAGCCCCTTTTTACCTGACTTGTCATTCAGACCATTTAATTTTGCTTTAACAAAATCAACCATTACATATAATTATTAATTATTGTAAATATAACAATTAAACAAACTTTCGTACTTTGTTCTATACTGCATTTTGTATAAGACATCAGTATTTTAATAGAAATATTTCTGTACAGAATTCAATTTGTTATAAACATATATTTTCAGCGCATTAAATAAATATGTCAAATGGTAAGTGTACCACCGGTGGTACACGTGGCCTGAAGAACAAGTTTAACGTATACCACCGGTGATACACGTGGCACGGAATGTGTTAATCATAAAATACTTTAAACTATGGCCTTTTAATAACGTCGTTTAAGATTTTCAAGTTCACTTATTGGAACACTTTTTTGAGTGACAAAGGAATACACTTTTTTACGACAGGTAAAAAACCTACGAACTATTTTACGATTAGCATTACATATAAATATTACTATAACGTTAATTGTAATCTTTACATCTTGTAAACTTGTCCTTATTCTACAATGTATATATATGTATATATATATTAGGGGGACCGGAAATTAATGTCGTTTCCACATATGTCAATTCTTATATTTTAATTAAAAATTGATTGACTTTATCTGTCTGGTATTAAAAATTTGCATACTACATGAAAAAAGGTTATTGATAACAAAGTTGATTATGTTATTGATTAAAAATAAAAATTTGTTAAAAATTTATTTATTTGAATTTAAGGTTAAAAAACAACATTACTTTTCGATCCACCTAATATTTAATCGTCGTTATTTGATATATGCTTGCTTTAATTGTCTAAAACGATAAAAATATTGAAATTCGGCAAATTAGGATGGTCATTTTCGTTTAACGAAAATATTTTCGAGTAGTTCCTTAGTGATAATTCGATGAGGCCTCGTTGGATCTTCCGTAGGCTTGCCGTACAATCGGCTGTTGATGACGTACAATTTCGGACTTAGTTCGCACCTGACATTGAACCACCAATCGCAAACGAACACGATTTGACTGAATTGTGTACCATTTGGGCACAAAAATGTAGCTTGTCTGCCATCTATATCGCAATAATGCCAAGCTTGACATCTTGTTTCAACATCTGCGAAGAAACCCGGATAGGGTTGATCGTCGCAATAAAAATTGGTGTAGGGCACTTTTCCTAGGACTGGATAATCCGTACCTGGTCGACCTGAAAAAACAATAAAACATAGAAATTAGTTTGTTAACTCTTCGGGTACATTTGACGAATGAAACTCATCATCTGCTTACTTGAACAAAGTTATGGTGGACGAGTCTGACTCGTCATCTGAATTAAAGAAGCATATTTTTGTTTGGAAATATAAGTACATGTAAATAACACTCAAAAGATTAAAATATAATATATTTAGATTAAATCAAATTAAAATATATTCAATAAATAAAAGTTTGCAAAATTTCTCTCTATTATATTTTAAATAATTAAAATAAAATTGTATTAAAATAATAATTATATTTTAAAAGAACGTATATAATTAGTTAGTTAAGTTAAGTTAAGTTAAGTTGATCAAAGTTTAATTTCAAAAAGTAAAAAAGAAACAAATGATAATTAATAATGGATAATACTAGATTATACGTGTATAAAACTGTATCTACTACTAACTCTTCTTTCCCCGTTTCTAGATTAATTTTAACCTATGTCCATGCATTTATAAGTTCTCAAGTTGGTAAGTCATTGTTTGCTTAGAGTGAGCTTCATCCGCGATAACTCCAGACGGAATAAATTGAATTCTGGAGTCCGTGTTGGAAGTTTCATAACACCATTGGAACATCTCTAACTTACTATAAGGTGTATGGCACTGAAACACCCTACTACTACTACCACTACTACTACTATTACTTTCTTAGATGTACGCCGTAAGAATATTAAATGATAGTAGTGGAAAGCTTCCTATCCCTTAATGATAAAAGTCAGAAGAAGACCTTGCTATTCGTTACTCATCTTCTTTTTTATCTTCTATCTTTCTCTTTTATTTTTTATTTTTTTTATTTTTTTTTATTTTTTTTTAATCCACGTTTTTCAAGATATACAGTTTCTTGGAGAATATCGTTGACGATCTTCTTTTTATTTTTTTTTTTTATTTTTTTTTTCGGAATCTTACATCTTTTGACGTAAAAAGTAATTAAATATCTACCATAAATCTTATATCTCGTATATATTATTCGTAATTAACTATGAAATTGATTTTTGTTGCTTTATATACATACATCATTTTTTTGTATAACAATATAATCTTACAAATTTTTCGTTAAATAATCTAAGTTAATTTTTTTCTGTATATAATTAATAAAACTTAGTCTAAGTTCATTTATATTCGAATCGAGATATTAAAGGGTTTGCATTGAATTAAATTTAAAATTATAAATAATAGATATTAATTAACTATTTTTTGTTTTCTTATATACATCACATTATTAAATTTAAAAAAGACAATATAAATCTCTAGGATCTCAAAAACACATATATTCGTTCTCATTAAGAAAAAAAACATTCTAAGATTCATCTCGCGTACTTACTTTACTACCAAACCATTTTTTTGTATTCTTCCCTCCCCTATAATAATAATCCTATCTTTGACATAATTGGCATCAACCCGAGTCACGTATCTTTCTCTATCCAATCTCTCATCGTTTTATCTATTCATCTCTAGTTTCCATCTCATCGTGATTTCCTTGGAATACACTCGAGTAAAGCCTCTCGATTGTTTGCGGATTATGTAGGAAGATAGGAAGAGACGAGAAGGGATTGTGAATAGTGGTAGCAGGGTAAATGGGAGGGATGGTAGGGGTTGAGGTGGATGCAAGGGTGGTGGAATGCAAGGTAGGGGATAAGAAGGAGAATGGGAAAGACGCATCCTCGGCGATTAATCGAAGGAAACGTTGAGGAAACATCGTTCGAGTGAGATGCATCCTACAAACACATACACAAACATATACAAACACACACTCTTTAACCCTTACTCTCTATCCTTGTTCTACCCTTTCGATTGTGCTTTATCCGACACCTGTATTACCAGCACAAAGCACGACTGTTCTGGCCAGGTATCGACATACCTCGTTGGCTGCCAATTGCACAAGGCAACATTAAGTAATGTACATCATCACTTATATATATATATATAGTTTGTTGTTTGCATATGTGTATATATATACACGCATGCACACATACTTATCTATATATTAAGTTATGTATAGTTATCATTAAGAGCTTCTCCCATGATCGTGGTCGTGATCGTACTCCTATCCGACGCAACTTTGAATTAACGATCGCGTTATATCATCAGACAAGTAAGTCGTCGTGTAATTACATGTCTCTCACCTGGCAAAGGGTTAATCAGAATACTACACAGCATGTTATCTATCTTTCTCTCTCTCTCTCATACACTCTCTGTCTCTTTCCTTTCCCTCTCTGTGTATATGTATAGATGTATGTTTGTATATGTGTGTCTATTTAATCTAATAAGATGAAATAAAGTTTATTCTCTCCGAAATCATATTTTCCAGTTATTATTTTCTTGTTTGTTTGTTTGTTGTCGTTGCTGAGACTATTGAAATTTCTACTTAAAAAAAAAAAAAAAGATTATATTACAATTTGTATCGTTCAATTAATTTCAAACGTTTGTTTCGCTATCGAATCATAACTCGTTCGTTCTAGCGGAATAATTTTCTCATTTATTATCTCACATTTTTTTTTTTTCTTTTTCTTTTTCTTCTCGTGGAAAATTCCTATCGTTTTTACTGTCTCTCTTCTTCTTTACTTTACTTTTTCTTTCTTTTCTTTTTTCTTATGTAAATATAATATGTAAATATATATA